TCAACATGTAACCAAGTTACAGTCAGTAGCCAGGTTACAGTCGACATGTAACCAAGTTACAGTCAGTAGCCAGGTTACAGTCAACATGTAACCAAGTTACAGTTAGTCAGTAGCCAGGTTACAGTCAACATGTAACCAAGTTACAGTCAGTAGCCAGGTTACAGTCGACATGTAAGCAAGTTACAGTCAGTAGCCAGGTTACAGTCAACATGTAACCAAGTTGAAGTTAGTAGACATCCCGGATGTTGACAAGTTGGAAGAGTCCAGTTTGCATTCAATAATGACTGGAATAAGTTAGGCCTACGGTATTTGTTCCTGTTCGATGGAATATTTGCCGTGTGTGCGGAATTTGTATTCGTGTCATCCATTCTCTATTTCACGGCATTTATTCCGAACCGGAACATTTACTACTCGGAACTAAATCATGTTTACAAATGGACATCATGGCCGCTGGAATCAACGTCAATGGCCTCGTGTACTCTTCATACATGAACGCACATTCAGTTTGTCCTTCCATGATGGTCGGCAGAGGATTTATAGTCGCAATGGAGATCGAATCACAGATGCAACCGTTGCCATGCTTAACCAATTTGACAGGGGTCGATCATGGTTTGGGCAGGGATAACTCATATCCGGACATACTCCACTCCACGTGGTCGACGGTAATCTTACCGGACAGCCTTATCGGGAAGAGATTCTGGCTCTTATAGCCTTACCATTCCTGCAAGCTATGCATGGCTTTTATGGTCGACCCTCTTTACTGCAAGACGACGACGCTAGGACCCATAGGGCCAGGATTGTCACGAAATTCCTTAGGCAGCAGGGTGTAGAGAGGATGGTGTGGCCAGCATGTTCGCCAGAACTCTACCGAATTGAGCATGCCACGAATGAACTCAGTCGACGTGTGTAAACACGTCACCCAGCGCCAGTGGATCTCCCAGGACTCCGCAGAGCTCTAGTAGAGGAATGGAATGCGATTCCACAAGCTTTCTTTATGAACTTGATAAGGAGCATGAGAACATCGTGCACCTGTATCTCGGACGTGCGAGGAGAGTACACCAGATATTGAATGACCGAGGGCTTCGTGTTTGTCATTTTCATTTTGGGGGCATGGTACTGTTTGAACCTTTTGTCTGTATGTCACGATGTGTCACGTTTGTCAACACATTAAACATTATGATGACACTCGTAGTTCTCTTATTTCTGAGAAACCTGTCTTTACATGTGCTACAGAACGGTTAAATTCCTAATAAGTTATTCGGTTGAACCGCTGATGTATCTACTGGTTCTTTTCGAAGTATGTACATGTAGGAGCAGCACCTCTAGTGTGCTGATGTCGAGTGGCAGCTGGTGGAAACCACCTCTAGTGTGCTGATGTCGAGTGGCAATTGGTGGAAACCACCTCAAGTGTGCTGATGTCGAGTGGCAACTGGTGGAAACCACCTCTTGCGAAGTGTGCTGATGTCGAGTGGCAACTGGTGGAAACCACCTCTTGCGAAGTGTGCTGATGTCGAGTGGCAACTGGTGGAAACCACCTCTTGCGAAGTGTGCTGATGTCGAGTGGCAACTGGTGGAAACCGTCCCGGGCAATTATATACAGCATCATTTGGAAAAAACCCTTTCTCACGCTGTGCTTGATTTCAAAGTTCCATAACATTCCGTAACAATACGGAGCCTATATTTGCATCACTATCATAAAAAGTGTAGGTACAAAATGTCATCTAAGAAAGCATCTGTGTGAAATTTAGGGATAGGACATTAAAGGCGGGCAAGTAAGTAATCACGGGCACCAAGTACGCTCTTGATCTGTCTCTTTATCCATAAGTAGGGGATGTCTTGCTTAACAGAACAAATATCAAAACAGGTGACATTGTCGAAGAAACTTAGGTTATAGTGATAATTTGGCATTGATCAATAACTGTCAAATGGAAAATTCTTCTTCACTGATTTCCCCCTCTTAAAGTAGGAATGAAAGCGTCCAATGAAACCACCTCTTCATTTTCAACATCATTTAAATCAGACTGAAAGAAAGGCTACCTGATGACAAGAGGGATAACTCTAACTTTCCGATAGTCAACTGTCCATTTGTGGTGAACCAGGCCCTGCACCTGCAACCTTTGTTGTTTACAATTCAAATGTTTATAGGTAAAAGAACGGGTGCTACACATTTCAAAGCGTTTTCCCATATCGGCTCTTTCCAGACCTGACGTATCAGTGACCAACATGATTTTACCTTTTTAGTTCAGGTGAATATTTGACCTGCCTTTGCATGTGTTTGTGACGGGTACCAGCGTTGGCGCAGGATACGCTAAAGTTTGCGGAAACGTGTGTGTGGTTTATTGTAGTTCCGAGCAGTATTAAGTTATATTTTATCACTGGGACCGGACGCCATCTTGATGTGTTTGGAACGCTAAGAGTGAGTTTAGTTCATCAGTGATTTGGGGCGGTGGGGTAGCCTAGTGGTTAAAGCGTTGGCTCGTCACGCCGAGGATCTGGGCTCGATTCCCCACATGGGCACAATGTGTTAAGCCCATTTCTGGTGTCCCCCGCCGGGATATTGCTGGAATATTGCTAAAAGCGGCGTAAAACAAAACTCAGTCAGTCAGTCAGTCATCAGTGATTTAGGCCACAAGGATGTAACATCTATCAATTTGGGCCAAGCCCAGGAATTCTACCATTGTTGCGAAATCCACAAGCATGTGTGTTAAGTTTAATGTCAACAGTCTCGTTGATTTCAGTGTATGTTACCTTTCGCCCTGTGTATACTCACATAGTCACATACACCATTACTATACCAACGCAGCATGAAGGGCTTTTGATTAGTATACGTGTAGTCAAAAATAAAAATTCAATCCGGCTCTAACAGGCAAGGGATCTCTATTGACCTCTACATTCGCAAAACTCGAGAAAGGCAACTCATGAAACACCTTCAGCTCTACATGATGAGATACCTTTGTGATGACAATCTCTAGTTTACCCGTGTTGTAGGTCGGGAGCATGTACGGGGATGGTGGTCTGACTAACGGGCCTTTGCAGGTTCTGTGTGCTCGCATCTGTGAGAGAGACGTAAGGTAGTGATCACAGGCCTGATTGGTAAGGGTTCTCTCCCACAATTGGTTGCCTGCACATATGTTGCACAAATATTCACTTATCTTATGAACAGTAGGGGACAACAAGGTCATATACAATGGTTGTTTTGATGGAGTGTACAGAAGATGGCATCAGCAGCGGCATCTTCCACTGCTACGATGCTGCAATGTCGTGGCTCCCATACTTTCTAAAGGCGTTGTGCTCTTGTACCAGCTACTTCTATATCGTCATGCCCACTGGGTGTTGTTGTATATGTATATGTATAAGATATTTGTTATATGCGATATTGATTACACAACAGAAGAAAATATTCACAAATTGGCGCTGTTCCTAGCCTCAAGAACCACGAGTTCTGAGATGGTTCCGTCCTGACAGAAGAGGCTGAAGTGACGAACCTTTTCTAGTGATGGGAAAATACATTCATTGCAAGCACCGTATTTATATTTAAGTACAAATTCCGATGTTAGTTATTTTGCAATTCATCGTTCTTATTTGGGGACAAAGGGATGGCAGAAACCTAGGTCAAGGCTGAACACAGACGCAATGAAGAGTTGTGAGGAAAACATTCTGAAACTTCCTTCCAGTTTCCAAATGGAATCTGCCGAAGGACATTCACTCTCTATACCCTCTCCTGTTCTAACGACCATTTAGTAAAATGCTTCGTATACCTATCTGTCCAACTTCCTGAGATAGGGGTGCAACATGAATCATTATTGTGGAATGGTGCTAATAAAGTGTGTGGAACTGACAACAGAGTTTTGTATTTCTTCTGTTCCTTACGACCAATCATCAAACTCAGATACAGCCGGGCACAGCGTGAATCTGCGATGTTTGACGATTCGTTTTTATCTGTGAATCCTACCCACGATTGTCAGGTAGGTCAGTTCTACCTTAGCATGCAGTACAATGAAACAATACCACGTTTAGGTTTATAGATCGACATCGCCTTTACAAACAAGTGGTTAGATGAATGACTTGTCTGAAAAAGAACGCGGTTTATAGAACACCGTTGATTAGACAACACTAGAGGTTTACAGAATGACGTCGACTAGACAACACTAGAGGTTTACAGAACGACGTCGACAAGACAACACTCACGGTTTATAGAACGACGTCGACTAGACTACGCTTGCGGTTTATAGAACGACGTCGACTAGACTACGCTTGCGGTTTATAGAACGACGTCGACTAGACAACGCTTGCGGTTTACGAATAGACAACACTATAGAACAGGTAACACCACGTATCATACCACGATGACTGTACAATCGGCCAGGTAACTAATCGGCCAGGTGACAACCCCCACACAATGGGTTTACTGATGGGTCTGTAAATTTCTCGTGCCATTTGAGATTTATGATGGTGATGGTGGTTCGGTTGACCCCTTACAGTCCTTACAGACACCCAATGAAACACCGTTCAGTCACAGCCCCTTCTGAAAATGTGAAACAGATTGTTCCATTTTTACGCACACGTATCAAACTGACGCTGTCCAAAGATGAAGCTGTTGTTTGTTAAGACGTAAGGTTCAGTGCAATATTATAGAATAAAAATGTAAAAGGAATGAGCGGGTATTGTTTTACCTCACTTTTAGCAATAAAGAAATGGTTTCACACGTGGTGAATTGAACCCGGGCTTCGGCTCAAACGAGCCAACACTTTAACCGCCAGGCTTAACCCACCATCAGATGCGGCAAGGATCAAATGACGATACTAAAACGTAATGCTTAGCAGCGTCTTGGCTTAAAGGATAGATGCCTGCTCCAAAACTGAGTACAACTAACCACATGTCCATATTGTCCACCCTGCTGGTCCACTTCTTACATAACAAGGTTCTACACCAAACATTCTTGGTAGCACATAACTCAATGTGTTACTAATTAATGTCAGAGAAAGAAAACAACTGCAAAATACTGCTTTTAGTCTTTATTTGTCCTCTTGCACTGTTTTTTTTTTACTTTTGTAAACATTTATTCTGAGCCATTTTGCGAAACATTTCTTATTTTATATTTCTCTGAATAACATTGTTTTCCCATGATATATTGATTAGCTGTCAACGGCGGAATAGTTGCAAGCGCTGAAGTTATATCTGATGTATTTGTTGCAGATGTAGCTGTTGCAGATGTAGCTGTTGCATCTGTTGTAGATGTAGCTGTTGCATCTGTTGTAGATGCAACTGGTGTAGTTATTAGTTAATGTAGTTACAGTTCTGTTTTTGCGGAATGTCCGGATATTCCATGGGATTGACGCACACGAGCAGTTCGTTGCTGTAGTAGGTTCCCTCGCCGCATTGGAACTGCATTTCCAGATCGTTAACACAGACGACGTACCGGCTGCAGTCTTCTGGCAGAGCACCCTCGAAGGCACACCCTGGAGAAAAACACAAAACTACAGTGTGTAGTCGAAGTAGTAGCAGCAGCAGTAGTAGTAGTAGTTATAGAAGCAGCAATAGTAGTGGTAGTGGTAGTAGTAGTAGTTATAGCAGCAGCAGTAGTAGTTGTAGTGGTAGTGGTAGTAGTAGTAGTAGTAGTAGTAGTAGTAGTAGTAGTAGTAGTAGTAGTAGTAGTACTAGTTATAGCAGCAGCAATAGTAGTGGTAGTCGTAGTAGTAGTAGTAGTAGTTATAGTATCAGCAATAGTAGTGGTAGTGGTAGTAGTAGTTATAGCATCAGCAATAGTAGTGGTAGTGGTAGTAGTAGTAGTTATAGCATCAGAAATAGTAGTGGTAGTAGTAGTAGTAGTAGTAGTAGTAGTAGTAGTAGTAGTAGTAGTAGTAGTAGTAGAAGAAGAAGAAGTAGAAGAAGAAGAAGAAGAAGAAGAAGAAGAAGAAGAAGAAGAAGAAGAAGAAGATGAAAAGAAGAACTATAAGTAGCAACGATCGCAGACATTCATAAACAGTTAACCTCGTGACAGTAGTAGAAGTTACTGTTTTGTGGTATTTGTGGGCTCGGCTGTTACCGGAACATTGATTTGTATCTGTGTAAAGTTAGTGATGGGAGGAGAACTCACCGTCCACAAATCCTGTTCTCGCTTCGATGCATTCTGTTGCATCACAATCGCCGGTTGATGAATTGAAGATGGAGCCACCAGCGCAGTTCATTGGGCCGGTGATGAGGTAGTCCCAGCAAGATAGATACTGTCTGCACATCTTGCCGTCGGCCATCACGTTCCCTGTGCCGCCCGGCAGATTATTACACCGGGAATCCGGTACCCCTGAAAGTAAACATGACGCAAGATAGTGGTTAGTACTGACCGGTCACTCTCTCTGACAGATAACCAGTAATCTTAACACGACTGCCTCAGAAGACACTATCTCTGAAGCCTCTGAAGGAATTACTTATGACTGTTGCTGAAGAAGCTATATGCGACCTCTTCCGAAGGAACTATGTACGTCTGTTTCAGAAGGACGATGTACCACTGTCTGAGAAATACCAAAATAGTCGACTGTCTGTGAACTGTGTATGGTTGTTGCTGAAGGACACATACAGGACTTGTTCCTATAGGAACTGTATACAACTTCTGCGTTGTATGGTGCTCTTTGCCATCTTGATAAAAAGTGATCGCTGGATTGTGTCTCAAACTTTGGAAAAATGTAAATACCAAATAACTGTTTCTGGAGACACTACATACAGCTGGGTGTGAAAGAACTACATACGAATGTCTCTGAACGACCTTTAATATTTACAAAACAAGGGTAAATTCAATGCAAAAGTGTCAAAACTAATGATCTTTTAATGAGATAGATAGTTTATCAGTGTGACAGTGACATCTGGCTGAGATTTGTGTTAGTCGTTGAACGTCAGAGAACCATAGAGTTTGTTAGATGATTGGCCAACCTAGGATTCGACGAGGCATAGTCCTTTTATTGGCTTATTCCATTTCAATCTTCCTGCAAGGAAACGCCAAGTTCGTTGTGAGAGGTCGGTGGTTGTTGACGGTGGCGTGAGCGTCGTTCAAGGTTATCTCAGCACATGTTCGACGGATGACAAGTCTTGACCAAGTGCTGGCCATAGTAAGGCGGGGAAGTTCTCTAGATGGAGGTACTACTAGCCCTTGTGCGTTTGCGTTGTCCGACTGAAACACAAACGGACACCCATGTCGGCGCGCATACGGCGCCCCGTGTACTCCAGGATGATGTCACGGTTGTACTGCCTAGTGACACAGGCGTAAATAACGTCTAAAGGTCTTATGTGAATCACAGCGATCCAAATCAGCACTGTTACTGAGTCACTCAAAATTCATTCCATGTAAATTATATATACGTTAACAGCATGAATACGCTCAGTTGGTCTATGCTACACTCTGTCAAGAAAGTCCAAAGTGAACTTTGATTCATCCGAAAACTTGACTGTCTTGTGGACCAGTTATCGCCCTTGGTTGGCTAGATCTGTTATCAACGTCATTTGTCTGTCGACATCGTGATTGTAATCTGCTAAGAACTGACTGTGAAACGTTAACAGCTCATGCTCTGTCTTGTTCCAGCTGCCATGATGCCAATTAAATTAAGCTGTTCCTGAGTATAAAACAATATCAGAACAATGTTCAGTTTTCAGCAACACACTGCCACGTTTCACTGTAAATGTCTAATATTACCCTGATCATGTTCATCTTCACATCATAAATGACGCTTGCACAAAATGTGTGTGTTTGCATGGATTCACAGCACATTATGGATGATTTACTAAATCCATAGTAAATCCATATACAACCATAACCAATTAATATCACCCGTGACATATCTACTACATTCAATGGTATATATAATTTTTTAATGGAAATGGTTTCGTCGCTTATATTTTCAGAATCATTCGTGCGTGCACGCGCACATACAGAAACACAGAGATATACGAATAGTTCTGAAAATCGATTGTACAATTACGACTAAATCAAGAGAATGTGTTTATGGATCACTATCCAAATACTGGGATACCACCGATGGCACCGTCATGAACACTGTCAAGGACTAATCAGCTGTTCACCTAAAAAATCGTATATATATATATGATAAAAGACAAAATAGAGAATTGTATCGGGCATCATTTTTGTCACTTTTGTGTAACTCCGCCAAATGTACCTGAAAAGTTGTAACCTGTTTACGGGTTCTGGTGACTGAAGGACCCGCGTACGGCAGGACGAAAGTGAGTTCTGGTGACTGAAGGACCCGCGTACGGCAGGACGAAAGTTAGTTCTGGTGACTGAAGGACCCGCGTACGGCAGGACGAAAGTGAGTTCTGGTGACTGAAGGACCCGCGTACGGCAGAACGAAAGTGAGTTCTGGTGACTGAAGGAAGTGACCCGCGTACTGCAGAACGAAAGTGAGTTCTGGTACTGGCAGACCCGCGTACGGCAGAGTTCTGGTGACTGAAGGACCCGCGTACGGCAGGACGAAAGTGAGTTCTGGTGACTGAAGGACCCGCGTACGGCAGAACGAAAGTGAGTTCTGGTGACTGAAGGACCCGCGTACGGCAGAACGAAAGTGAGTTCTGGTGACTGAAGGACCCGCGTACGGCAGAACGAAAGTGAGTTCTGGTGACTGAAGGACCCGCGTACGGCAGAACGAAAGTGAGTTCTGGTGACTGAAGGACCCGCGTACGACAGGACGAAAGTGAGTTCTGGTGACTGAAGGACCCGCGTACGGCAGAACGAAAGTGAGTTCTGGTGACATATTACACTAAACAAAAAGTTACAATAATAAACTGAATACTTGGTACCAATCTTACACGACACACATTCAGATTTGACCCGTTAACATTGCAAGTGGACAAGGTTGAATACTGAAAGAAATCCTGCTGCTTATTGTTGTAATATTGCTGAAACCATATTTAGTATTTATTTACTTATACCTGTTTTAAAAATGATAAGGTTTGAATGTAAGGTTCGTGGTTGTACCTTACGCGTAAAGGTAAAGAATACGGCGACAGACACCTATTGAATGGGTTTAACGGTGTTCCTTTCTATTCCAACCATAGCACACCCGAGATTATCAGTGCTGGTCTTTACACATGAGACTTTGGAGGGAAGACTGTACTCTGTTACTATAAGGTTACCGTAATGCCCCTAAATAACACAGAGCTCATGACACTAAACATCTGTATACCGAAACAATGTATTTACCGACACTGTGTTACCATTAACGACATTTAACGCAGGTCACTTACTGGGCCAACGTGTTAAGACAAGAGCTCTGCTAAATAAACTAACGTATCTTTGTCCCTAACAGAATAACAATGGCGTCGGTGTTGAGTTAATGCTACGTCAATAGACTTGTGTCAATGACAGTTTACATAACTGGCACCAAGTGAAGAGCCACTTACCTGCTAATCCTTCAACAGCTAGGACAAGCCCCAGCAGAGCAATAGCGACATTACACAACTTCAACATATTGTACAAAACCGGGTGGATGAAAAGTCGAGTAATTCGTTTAACGTCTATATGTGAAAACTCCAAAAGCAGAACTGCCGAAATACTGTGAGGCCCGTCTATTATAGGGCGCGTGGAGCAGGTGCCCTCCCCTTATGTAAATGCCTACTTATGAGAATGTGACTCCACGCTACTGCATGAATATTCTCCGGATTTTAATTTGTCCAAAGTATGTCGTATTTCGGTTGTAATGAAATAGACCCGGGGTTTTGCTTTGTTTGATCATGCCCTGTGTCGACGGCATGCAGCGAGGGATATTTGTCTAGCTGATAGAATGATAGGAACGTATATGGCGGAAAACGTTGTCCGTGACATTCTTCTGCAGCATCATCAAGAATGGCAAGAAAATGGTGGCAAATGTTGAATTAAAAGTAGTTTTGTATAGCAGATGACAAGGGAACAAATATCAAGGTGAATGAATGGGTGCAGCGGGGGTATTGGTGGCCACGTGTATAGGTCAGCCGGGAGGGTATAATGGATGGGAAGTGTAAACTACAGATGTAACCTCGCCCTGTGTGTGTATATGCCTGACTGTTTGGGTATACCCGCGATGTTGCCCGACAATAGGAAGTTCACGGAGATATTTGGTACAAAGGGGGCAATGGAGTAGGTGAGAGAAAACTCTCGAAACGAAGCAGAGTGAATAGACTAGGGAGAGAGAGTCAGACAACTACAGACAGAAACGAGGGAATACAGAAAGTGTGAGAGCGAAGATAGAGACAATGAGAGAAAGGAGATGGTGGATGTTGAAGAGTGGAGACAGCCCTGAAGAAGATGGTTGGGACAGGGATGGCCATAATGTGAAACTGACGTCAGGATCCAGTGTTCCCAACAACGACATAGACACATCAGTAATATCTACCTAACACAAGCGAATTTTATAGTGTCTTAGTGGCTGTAGCCCAAGGTTAAATTTGCTGTATTAGTGACGGTAGCCATAGGTAGTACTTGCTGTATTAGTGACGGTAGCCCAAGGTAGTACTTGCTGTATTAGTGACGGTAGCCATAGGTAGTACTTGCTGTATTAGTGACGGTAGCCATAGGTAGTACTTGCTGTATTAGTGACGGTATCCATAGGTAGTACTTGCTGTATTAGTGACGGTAGCCCTAGGTAGTACTTGCTGTATTAGTGACGGTAGCCCAAGGTAGTACTTGCTGTATTAGTGACGGTAGCCCAAGGTAGTACTTGCTGTATTAGTGACGGTAGCCCCAGGTAGTACTTGCTGTATTAGTGACGGTATCCCTAGATAGTACTTGCTGTATTAGTGACGGTAACCAAGGTAGTACTTGCTGTATTAGTGACGGTAGCCATAGGTAGTACTTGCTGTATTAGTGACGGTAGCCCAAGGTAGTACTTGCTGTATTAGTGACGGTATCCCTAGATAGTACTTGCTGTATTAGTGACGGTATCCCTAGGTTAAATTTGATGTATTAGTGACGGTAGCCCCAGGTAGTACTTGCTGTATAAGTGACGGTAGCCCAAGGTAGTACTTGCTGTATTAGTGACGGTAGCCCAAGGTTAAATTTGCTGTATTAGTGACGGTATCCCTAGATAGTACTTGCTGTATTAGTGACGGTAGCCATAGGTAGTACTTGCTGTATTAGTGACGGTAGCCATAGGTAGTACTTGCTGTATTAGTGACGGTAGCCATAGGTAGTACTTGCTGTATTAGTGACGGTAGCCATAGGTAGTACTTGCTGTATTAGTGACGGTAGCCATAGGTAGTACTTGCTGTATTAGTGACGGTAGCCATAGGTAGTACTTGCTGTATAAGTGACGGTAGCCCAAGGTAGTACTTGCTGTATTAGTGACGGTAGCCCAAGGTTAAATTTGCTATATTAGTGACGGTATCCCTAGGTAGTACTTGCTGTATTAGTGACGGTAGCCCAAGGTAGTACTTGCTGTATTAGTGACGGTAGCCCAAGGTAGTACTTGCTGTATTAGTGACGGTAGCCCCAGGTAGTACTTGCTGTATTAGTGACGGTATCCCTAGGTAGTACTTGCTGTATTAGTGACGGTAGCCCAAGGTAGTACTTGCTGTATTAGTGACGGTAACCCAAGGTAGTACTTGCTGCATTAGTGACGGTATCCCTAGATAGTACTTGCTGTATTAGTGACGGTATCCCTAGGTAGTACTTGCTGTATTAGTGACGGTAGCCCAAGGTAGTACTTGCTGTATTAGTGACGGTAGCCATAGGTAGTACTTGCTGTATTAGTGACGGTATCCCAAGGTAGTACTTGCTGTATTAGTGACGGTATCCCAAGTAGTACTTGCTGTATTAGTGACGGTAGCCCTAGGTAGTACTTGCTGTATTAGTGACGGTATCCCAAGGTAGTACTTGCTGTATTAGTGACGGTAGTCCAAGGTTAAATTTGCTGTATTAGTGACGGTATCCCTAGGTAGTACTTGCTGTATTAGTGACGGTATCCCTAGGTAGTACTTGCTGTATTAGTGACGGTAGCCCTAGGTAGTACTTGCTGTATTAGTGACGGTAACCCAAGGTAGTACTTGTTGTATTAGTGACGGTAGCCCAAGGTAGTACTTGCTGTATTAGTGACGGTATCCCTAGATAGTACTTGCTGTATTAGTGACGGTATCCCAAGGTAGTACTTGCTGTATTAGTGACGGTAGCCATAGGTAGTACTTGCTGTATTAGTGACGGTAGCCCAAGGTAGTACTTGCTGTATTAGTGACGGTATCCCTAGATAGTACTTGCTGTATTAGTGACGGTAGCCCTAGGTTAAATTTGATGTATTAGTGACGGTAGCCCCAGGTAGTACTTGCTGTATAAGTGACGGTAGCCCAAGGTAGTACTTGCTGTATTAGTGACGGTAGCCCAAGGTTAAATTTGCTGTATTAGTGACGGTATCCCTAGATAGTACTTGCTGTATAAGTGACGGTATCCCTAGATAGTACTTGCTGTATTAGTGACGGTATCCCTAGATAGTACTTGCTGTATTAGTGACGGTATCCCTAGGTAGTACTTGCTGTATTAGTGACGGTAGCCATAGGTAGTACTTGCTGTATTAGTGACGGTAGCCCAAGGTAGTACTTGCTGTATTAGTGACGGTATCCCTAGATAGTACTTGCTGTATTAGTGACGGTATCCCTAGGTTAAATTTGATGTATTAGTGACGGTAGCCCCAGGTAGTACTTGCTGTATAAGTGACGGTAGCCAAGGTAGTAGTGACGGTATCCCTGCTGTATTAGTGACGGTAGCCCAAGGTTAAATTTGCTGTATTAGTGACGGTATCCCTAGGTAGTAACTTGCTGTATTAGTGACGGTAGCCCAAGGTAGTACTTGCTGTATTAGTGACGGTAGCCCAAGGTAGTACTTGCTGTATTAGTGACGGTAGCCCAAGGTATGGACTGCTGTATTAGTGACGGTAGTTCAAGTGTGGACTTGATGTATAAGTGTGGGTAGCGCAAGGTATGGACTGCTGTATTAGTGACGGTATCCCTAGATAGTACTTGCTGTATTAGTGACAGTATCCCAAGGTAGTACTTGCTGTATTAGTGACGGTATCCCAAGGTAGTACTTGATGTATTAGTGACGGTATCCCAAGGTAGTACTTGCTGTATTAGTGACGGTATCCCAAGGTTAAATTTGCTGTATTAGTGACGGTATCCCTAGATTGTACTTGCTGTATTAGTGACAGTAGCCCTAGGTTAAATTTGCTGTATTAGTGACGGTATCCCTAGGTAGTACTTGCTGTATTAGTGACGGTAGCCCTAGGTTAAATTTGCTGTATTAGTGACGGTAGCCCAAGGTAGTACTTGCTGTATTAGTGACGGTAGCCCTAGGTTAAATTTGCTGTATTAGTGACGGTAGCCCAAGGTAGTACTTGCTGTATAAGTGACGGTAGCCCAAGGTAGTACTTGCTGTATTAGTGACGGTAGCCCAAGGTAGTACTTGCTGTATTAGTGACGGTAGCCCAAAGTTATATTTGCTGTATTAGTGACGGTATCCCTAGGTAGTACTTGCTGTATTAGTGACGGTAGCCACAGGTAGTACTTGCTGTATTAGTGACGGTAGCCCAAGGTAGTACTTGCTGTATTAGTGACGGTAGCCCAAGGTAGTACTAGCTGTATTAGTGACGGTAGCCCCAGGTAGTATTTGCTGTATTAGTGACGGTATCCCTAGGTAGTACTTGCCGTATTAGTGACGGTAGCCCAAGGTAGTACTTGCTGTATTAGTGACGGTATCCCAAGGTAGTATATTTGCTGTATTAAGTGACGGTATCCAAGTGAGTAATTTGTTGTATTAGTGACGGTAGCCACAGGTAGTATTTGCTGTATTAGTGACGGTAGCCCAAGGTAGTACTTGCTGTATTAGTGACGATATCCCTAGGTAGTACTTGCTGTATTAGTGACGGTAGCCCAAGGTAGTACTTGCTGTATTAGTGACGGTATCCCTAGGTAGTACTTGCTGTATTAGTGACGGTAGCCCAAGGTAGTACTTGCTGTATAAGTGACGGTAGCCCAAGGTAGAACTTGCTGTATTAGTGACGGTAGCCCAAGGTAGTACTTGCTGTATTAGTGACGGTAGCCCAAGGTAGTACTTGCTGTATTAGTGACGGTAGCCATAGGTAGTACTTGCTGTATTAGTGACGGTAGCCACAGGTAGTACTAGCTGTATTAGTGATTTGTAGCCCACAGGTAGTACTTGCTGTATTAGTGACTGTATCCCAAGGTAGTACTTGCTGTATTAGTGACGGTAGCCCAAGGTAGTACTTGCTGTATAGTGACGGTAGCCCAAGGTAGTACTTGTTGTATTAGTGACGGTAGCCACAGGTAGTATTTGCTGTATTAGTGACGGTAGCCCAAGGTAGTACTTGCTGTATTAGTGACGATATCCCTAGGTAGTAATTTTGCTGTATAAGTGACGGCAGCCCAAGGTAGTAATTTGCTGTATTAGTGACGGTATCCCAAGGTAGTAATTTGCTGTATTAGTGACGGCAGCCCAAAGGCAGTACTTGCTGTATTAGTGACGGTAGCCCAAGGTAGTACTTGCTGTATTAGTGACGGTAGCCCAAG